AGGGGGGGCGCGGGGGGAGGGGGTGCGGGGAGAGGGGGGGGGGGGGACACGCGGCACCCAGGGTGGGGACCCCAGGGGGGGGGACCCCGGGCACTCACAGGGCGTTGGCCACCACCAGCAGGTCAGCGTTGTCAAAGAGGGTGGCCTGGGGCCCCTCCACCAGCACCAGGTAGGTGGCCTCGATGGCCACCATGAGCAGCAGCTTGCCGATGCTGCTGATGTGCAGGAAGACGGAGCAGGCCAGCAGGCTCAGCACCACGCTGTAGTTGAAGTACTGCGGGAGAGACGCCGCAGGGATGCGCCGGCACCCCGTGGGGACCCCCTGCCGGCACCCCACACCCACGGGGACCCCCTGCCAGCACTCTGCACGCTCAGGGGCTCTGTGCCAGCACCCATGGAGGACCTTGCACCCGTAGGGACCTATACCAGCACCCTGCATCTGTGGGACCCTGTGCCAGCACCCTGTACTCTTAGGGACACTGCACGGGAAGCACCCTGTACCCTTGGGGACCCCATGCCCAGCACCCTGGGGGACACCGTGCCTGCAGGGACCCCATGCCAGCACCCCGCATCCTCGGGGACCCCATGCCAGCACCCCAGGGGATACTGTGCCTGCAGGGACCCCATGCCAGCACCCTGTACCATCGGGGACCCAGTGCCAGCATCCCTGGGGATGCTGTGCCTGCAGGGACCCTGTGCCAGCACCCCGCATCCTCGGGGACCCTGCGCCTGCACCCATGCAGGACCTTGCATCCACAGGGACCTATGCCAGCACCCTGCATCTGTGGGGACCCCATTCCAGCACCCATGGGGACCCCCTGCATCTTGCATCCCCAGGCACCCTGTGCCAGCACCCAAGGAGGACCTTGGACTCACAGGGACCCGTGCTGGCACCCAAGCAGGACCCTGTCCCAGCGCCCTGCACCCGTGGGTGCCCCGCGGCCGCTCACCTCGGGGAAGTCGCAGACCAGCCCGTCGCGGTGGCAGGGGCCCGCGGGGGTCCCCAGGGAGAAATTGAGGGCCCGCAGCTGGCAGGGTCCCACGGCCTCGGGGGTGACGTTGAGCTCGCGGGCGGCGCAGTCCCGCAGGGCCACCCGGCTGCAGGCAAACTGGGAAGGAGGGAGGGGTACGCCCCTACCATGTTGACAAAGGCGGCAATGAAGACGAGGAGGATGGTGAAGACCCCGATGATGGTGCTGTGGACGCGGGACTGGACGATCTTCCGGGAGAGCCGCTGCAGGGCGGCAGGGAAGAGCTGCGGGGGGAGAGGGACCTTGTCACGCACGACCGAGCCCCCCACACCCCCACCCGTTGGCCCTGTACTCACGGTGACGCAGGAGTAGACAGCGCAGACGAAGAGGATGGCAGCGAGGAGGATGAAGATGCCAAGATGGTGCTGTGGACGCGGGACTGGACGATCTTCCGGGAGAGCCGCTGCAGGGCGGCAGGGAAGAGCTGCGGGGGGAGAGGGACCTTGTCACGCACGACCGAGCCCCCCACACCCCCACCCGTTGGCCCTGTACTCACGGTGACGCAGGAGTAGACAGCGCAGACGAAGAGGATGGCAGCGAGGAGGATGAAGATGCCAACATAGACACCGAGCATCAGCGGGGAGCTGGGGAGAGAGGTGGCCATGAGCACTGGGGGGCCAGGGGGCCAGGGACCGGGGTTTTGGGGGGCCGTGGCACTCACTGGGGGAACACCATGATCTGGAGGCAGCAGATGAAGCAGAAGACGAGGAGGGTGCAGGCCACGTAGCCACCGAAGCGGTCGTCCACCTTCTTGGAGTACTGCGGGGAGGAGAGGGGTGAGCCGGGCTGGGTGGAGGGGACAGAGGGGACCCCGGGGGATGGAGGGGACAGAGGGGACCCCGGGGGGACGAGATGGAGAGGATGGAGGGGACCCCACAGATTAGGGGGGTCAGAGGTGACCCACGGCTGGGATGGAGAGGGTGGAGGTGACCACAGGGGCTGGGATGGAGGGGACCACGAGGCCAGGACAGAGAGGACCCAAGGGCTGGAGAGGATGGGATGAAGGGGGACAGAGAGGACCCCAGGGGCTGGAGGGGAGATGAGGGGGACAAAGGTGCTGATGGGGCCAGGACAGAGGGGACGGAGGGGACCGCAGGCCCAGGACGGAGGGACCCCCACCTTCTTTTCCAGCTCAGGTGTCTGGAAGGTGAGCAGGAACTTCTTGACATGGTCCTTGCGGAGCTGGTCGATGCTGCGGGCGTCGATGGCCCGGCTCAGGAACTCGTCCACCTCATCCTCAGGGTTGAGGGCCTCCTGGGCGCCGCGGCTGGGGGCAGGGGTGGGTCAGGGACCCCCGGCTCTGCCCCAGGGAGGGGCTGCTGTGACCCCCCGGGCACCCCAGCACGGGGACACTTACTTGTCCTTGCTGGAGTCATCGATGCCCTGGGGAGACACAAGGGAGGTGGGGGGTGTCAGAGACACTGGTGCGGATGGGGGGGACCCTCACAGATGGCAAGGACACGGGGCATCCCCCAGGGTCACCAAGGCCACCAAGGATGGGGGACAGAGTCCCACGGGTAACCAGGATGGGGGATCCCCAAGGGTTCCCCGAGCCTGGCAAGGACGGGGTGGGGGTCCGCAAAGGGAGGGTGGAGGGGTCTGAAGGGGGTCTGCCACCAGTGAGGATGGGGGACCCGAGGGTCCCCAAGGCCAGGGAGGACAGGGGGGATCCCCAAGAACTGCGGAGGATGGGGGGACACCTGGGGGGGCCCCCATGGGCTGGTGATGGTTGGGGGGATCCCTGAGGGCTGCTGAGGATGGGGGGACACCTGGGGGTTCCCCGAGGCCACGGGCTGTGGCAGGCAGGAGGAAGCAGGCGAGGGCTGCGGGCAGGGCTGGGGGAGCCCCACGGCAGGC